GAATTTATTCAAACGATGATATGAACAGAGTATTAATAACCTATTAGTTATCGAACGAGCGTATTCCCTTCCGGGCCACGCAATTCTCTAGGCACCGCAAGTACGCTTGCTGTCACTAATTAGATGTTGGTCGGTTAGCTACGGCCCATCATAGACGGCCCCCCCACGAAGCAACGTTTGTTTGTTGTTTGCTAGGTGTGCAAGCAGTGGTGATCATGACTGCCTGCTCACCTCATCCCGACTACACGTCCAAATCCGACGACAAGGCCACGTAAGTGCCCGCCGCGCGAATTAATTTTTGTCTGTCGTCGCCATCTCTGGTTAATCTTCTGCTGAGTGCCTATGGCACGTCACAGATGGGCAGCATGATCGCTGCCCGTGATCATAGTTGTCACCGTGCCCAGTTTGCCGCGTTGACTTTTTACAAAACAAGCGCGGTTTACGAATCAGCTCTCGTTGTTCATCTTTCCGATTTCGATTGTCCCTTCCAGCGTCCGGGCAGCTGCTGGTCAAGGTCGTCGCAGAGTTGAAGGGGGCCAGAGTTCGTCACCGAAACGATCGCTCGGCTCGCGGACCGAAACGAAGTTCATGGCCAAGTTCGTTCGCCAACTGTCGCTTGCCCGTGTTCGTCGGCTGAAGTGCCGTCTCTCTCTCTATCCCTTCCTCCCTTCCTTTCTTCCTCGCTCTTTTTTTTCTATCTCTCCCCCTCCCTCTGCATCCCTTCCTCCCTCCCTTACTTCCCTCGCTCTTTTCTTTCTATCTCTCGCCCCTCCCCCCTCTCTCCCTTACTCTCTTTTTTCTTTCTCTCTCTCTCTCTCTTCTTCTCCCTCGCTCTCTCTCTCTCTCTTTTTCTCTTCTCTCTCTCTCTTCCTCTACTCTTTCTCTTCCCTCTCTAGCTAACAGTCAACAGGTCTAACTTTATTCAGCATAGCTTTACATCCGTTCACTCGTTACCAGCCAAGCTGAGCCAGCTAAGCTGAATGCAATGTTAAACGCTGCGCCGTGGCGTGGGCGTCACTGCGGGGTGGACGGTGAGCCGTATGACGCGGCCGGTGGGAGTGACGAGCCAGATGACTTTTAAACTTACGTATGCCGGTCGAGCGCGTAGATTGCGAATTGGACTTATCGTTTCGGTTTGACCGTATTCTCACGTCTGCTCTTCTCTCTCGCCACCGAGATAGCGTGTTCTGCGCCCGCAGGGAGGTCTCGCCAGGTGCCGGGGACGGGGGATGAGGAGCGAAGGATGCCGGCGCCGCCTCACAGTAGCCGCCGTCGACAGTTCCGGTGAAGTCGGCGAACGGACGCGCGGCAGACGACTCGGTCGGCCCTTTACGCCTAGCACGCAGACCTGCGATTTTTGGTTGCTCTCGCCCTGCCCCCAACCCTGCATACTGCAACGCGATCGTCGACGTGTCCGATTGTGTCGCGGCGTCGGTGCCGCACACATGCGACTTTCGAAGCAATTCTAGAACAATTTTTCGGGGACGCATTTGGTGAGCGACTGCAGATCGCTCAAAATCAAAACGGTTTGATTTCTTGCAACTTCGATCGCAAGCCGACCAGCATCCTACGGGGTTGCAGTTGGCTCAGCGTTCCCGCAGACGTAGCCCCGATTTCACAGGCAATTTTACACGATTCTAGAATCCCGTTGTTCGCGAGTTTGCCATGACAAAGCTCGCAGTCTGCGCTAGGCTTTTACTTCCGGCTGTCATACATGATACTCACAGCCTCCGTGGCAAAACTACGGCGCGCTCTGCCGACTGCGACGCAGTGTTTTTCAGTTCTTCGCGAGTGGAAAACTGAGCCTCGTGAACGTCATTGCCAGGTTCGAGATAATGTTTCGCTGACATTTCGTGCGGGCCCGCCGTTTCCGCTTCTTAGCCATAAATCCCATTCTCCGAATCATCCAGCACTTCCTGGTTCTAATCTGCCCAGAATAATAACAGCTCTTTCCTTATGTACTCCTCCCATCATCTCCTTTGCCTTTAGGTGAATACCACATGACGCCAGTAATTCCCCTGTATCCCGGGATGTGGGAAAAAAATGTGTGTTTTCATTCCAGTCCTGCCTAATAATAACCCCCTCCTCCCGCCACCTCCTCCCCTTCGTTCCCTCTCACAGCTCCCTCCCTCTCTTCAGGTTGATACCGCGCACGACCAGTATCTTCTGTGGCATCCTCTACCTTCACTTGCAGCGATATGCTTCAACAAGAACATTGAGGACAGAAAGCGCTAGAGAAGGGCCTTCACACTAGAACGACGTACACCAGTCAGACCAATGGGAAAGCACATGTATGTAGTTATCTGCTCCATCTGGCTGTGTTTGTTTGTCTGCTTCTGTTTGTCTGTCATCTCTCTTGCTCTCTCCTCGCTTACACACTTATGTGTAATTGCATTGAACTGAAAGCTACGATTTTTACTTAATAATTATTACCGTATTCTTATATATAATAATATATAATACAGTATTCATAACCATTTTATATTATATATATATATATATATATATATTGACGCGTCACGCCATATGGTCCTCCTGGGACGCGTGGCGTGTGACGGGCTGGTGACAGGTTCATGTTGTATGCAGGCATAGCCGGCGACCCCCTCCCCGTCACCTCGGAGCAGGACGTCTTCAAAATTCTTAGCATGAAGTACAAGAAACCCTCGGAGAGGAGCGTCTGATGACCTCTGACCTCTGACCTCACTTCCTCGCCTGCGATCGGCGATCGTGGGGACGTCGACAGCGATGTGGCTTCCTCTAGTGGCATCGAGCGGCGTGAAACGATAGCGACGTTATGATATTATGTGCACGTGGTCGTTAGAGTTTGTGTTTAGTGTCGTACCCGTGTGGTTTGTGTTCTCTCAGACTAGGGAGGGTTAGCATGGAGTAATGGGTCTAATAGGTGGATAACAGATAGTAGAACACTACGCGAGGGTTAGGGTTAGAGTTGGGGAATAACGCAAAGATGACAGTATCTGGTGACGATCTCTACTTTCTCGAAAGAACGTGTTGACCGACTATCAACATTAATTACATCATCGAAGGTTTCGCAAGATGATTTTAACGTATTAAACCCGACACGTTCTATTTACGCGTGTCAGTCAACCTGTTATCATGGAGAAAAAAATGTGAAGCTGTGTGTCTGTGTGTCGTGCTCGTTAAAATTTCTGGGCGCAAATGACGATTAAGTAGGCGGTGTGACGTATTCACCATGATCATGTGTGAGGTGAACAGAAACACTAATAAGATTATGAACTAACAGTAGCATGATTTGTAGTTTGTACATCGCAATGTATTTATTGTAGTTTGGCAAGCACTAATCAATGGCGACAATTTGACGAAGGATTAACTGGAAAGAAAATCGTAGCGCTTGTCTTAATACGTTTCTCTATTGGCTTGTGTTGGTACTAACCTAGTCTAGTAGTAAGTTATTTTCACAGTAGTCTCTGTAGATGAAGTTATGTGATAGTTCCACGTTGTAGACATCTCAGGGAACTCTAGAAAACCCTTTCGTGCTTACGGATTTTGATTTGAAAAGTTTTAATCGGAAATAATTGGTAATAATTAGTCGAAATAGATAACTATGAATCACAAGCACATTCCCGTTCTTGCTGTGTGGACTCTGATTTGTTCTTGCGATACTTTAGATGCATGATATTCTCTCTGATGATGCAATAAAGTGTACAAGATGTAACATGGCCATGCAACACCGATTATTCGTTCCGTATATTGTTCCAGCATGCTACACTGAACACTGTGACGTATATTTTCCTGATTAGAGGATAATACAGAATCGGGATGATTACATTGCATGATAACGTACATTAATCGATAATTTATGACACGCATCACTGATTTTATTCAGTTCTTTGTTTCCTCGAATCTGGTCATTTTTCTTTTCATCAATAACGACTCATTGTACGTAAGAAACGAAACCAACACCACATAGATACGTTATTACATAGATTGGATAGCTACATGGATAACCTACATAGATCGCATTAACTAATGGATAATGGACTCAGGGGGAGGGGGGGAGGGCAAAGAAACGAGCGTTTACGTTACAATCACGTACAAATATATTCACGATGAATTCACCACTGAAAGCCGGGTAAGGTTTCTACGATGGAGTATTGGTTGCTATTATTTTATTGATTAGCCATTCAATTAAGCGCGTGTTTTCCCAATCCCCGAAGCAAATATGTATGCGCAGAAACGATAGCGGGATCAATATGCATGGAATAGTGGTGCATGGTGGTTACATGAATCAGCAGTGTTGGTGTCGTCTTACAACCTTAATACACACGCACGCACGCACGCATGCACACGCACACGCACACACACACACATGCGCACATAAGCACGCACACGCACACACACACACACACACACACACATACACACACGCACGCGCGCGCGCACGCACACACACACACACACACACACACACACACACACATACACACACACACACATATATATATATATAAT